TCAGCCCAACTCCTACTAAAACATGAAATTAGCACAATATTCAGACAAAATCACGTTACCTGGAAGTAATTTCCTTGTGACCCTTCACCCTTTCCAGCTAGTTTGAGAATCTTATAACCTGCACTTGCCCATCGTCTCTCACTGCTCAAAAGGAATCTATTCAACCTGCTAAAAAGTGTACATTTCCTCAAGAGAAACCTGAAGCGACTTCATTTTTTTTAAAACTATGTTTTTATTGATTTCAGAGTGGAAGGGAGAGGGAGAAAGAGATAGAAACATCAATGATGAGGGAGAATCATTGATTGGCTGCCTCCTGCATGCTCCCTACTGGGGCTTGAGCCTGCAACCGGGCATATGCCCTGACCAGGAATTGAACCGTGACCTCTTGGTTCATAGGTCAATGCTCAACCACTGAGCCACACCAGCCGGGCCTGAAGCAACTTTAAAACTCTTAGTTTTACAGCCTCAAAATAAAATGAAATCTCCAGGTGCGAGTAACGAGAGAATGTGTGAGTTTTCTTTCTTTTACTCTTGTAAGTAATGGGCACACAAGAACATTCATCGATTTTGATCTGGGTCTACTAACAAAACTTAAAAAGAGTTTATCTGTAAGTAAATACATTTTTATTTCTCTTCAGGATGGAGCTTAAACTGAAGGCCAAGGAAAAGTTACTAGCTATAATGTACTAAAAGGTTTTGGAATCAAAGATTTATATGCAAATATGTACTTGTGAACTGCTTCAAGCTATTTGCTTACGTAAAGTTCCTCTAGATTGAATTTAGTTTACACTGTAAATTTGCTCAACATTTCTTCCTTGATTGCATAAAAGTCAGCCATCAGGGCAATCACAAATAGTAACTTAGGTTACAGTGTGTGAAAGCGACGTCTTATTGTTATCTATCTGCAGAGTAAGGAGTAGCCCCCAAGTCTGTCATCCCCAAGGCGAAAAATCCATTTCATCGTGAGCCAAGTGAACAAGGAAAAGCCATGCATGGATAACTGCCCACATAAAAGTAAGAACTGCTGATTTCAGAGAAGATGGAGGTCATTTAAAAAAATAACTATCATCAGGGCAGTGTTTTATAAAAGTTGGTTTAGAAATACATTTTTAGAAGCAGTAGCTGACAGTCAAACTCAGTTCCTGGTTATACGGAACGGCCCTAGGCCAAGGATAAAGAAGCCTGGTCAAAGCAGGCTTTTCTCAACCACGTGTCAGGCTGGCTAAAGTCAGACTATATCATCTAATCCCTCTTTTTTCTTTCTAAAAAAAAACAAACAGAATGGGGTCACCCATCCTCAGTCAGTCACTCCTCTACAGGCCACAAGCCACCACTGCCCACAGACCGGCCAGCTAAGTGTGGTGGTCACCACGTGGCCTCAACAGAGAGTCTGGGCCCATTTCTAAGTGTCCCCGAACACCCTAACCACACACTGACCTCATCCTCTGGGCTCTTATTGGTCCCCTGGCTTATTCTAAGGCTCTAAAAGATGGAGAGTGAAAGGGCCTGGGCTCTGATGGGGACCGCTCACAAGTCCTCAGGGTATACTGAAGCTTCCACAGTATGGAAAGGTAACTCACATTTGGGAAATCTAAAACACATTTTCTCCTCTACAAGTAAGTAGATTAATCTAGGAGTAGTATTCGAAATCAATCTGGGAAAACTTATGAACTACATATACACCCAACTAGACAGCAGGAGAGACTCGTGTCAATAATGCAAAACTACAATAATGGATATAAAAAGGATTCTAGCAAAACAGTAATACTAGAGATGAACTACTGAAAATAAATGGATTGTGAGCCTGGTTTACATAACCACAGAACAACAGGTCTGAAAGACTTTCATTCCCTGGAATTTAAAACTTTTCTGTTCTTATCTGCAAGAATGCTATCCCTAACGATATATACCATGCACACTATTTCTCATCAACAAACACAATCTGTTTTGCAGCAGTCTCTACTCCAGGACATGCAGGTTCTGACAATGGATTTGATAAGAATCTAAACCAGAATTGGGGGGAGAGGGTTCTTTTGAAAGTCATCTTCTGTCACTGCCATACATAGCTCTTAAACTATGATTCAAGAGTGTTAAAAATTTTGTTTTGAGAAAGTCAACAAATTTGGCTACATTAAAGTATAGAACTTCTATAAGTCAAAACCACTACAAATATATGCTAAGTGTCTTTATAAAGCAAAGCTGGGAAAAATAGCTGCAATATGAAGGCAAAAAATTATTATCAAGACATAAAGGCTCTTATAAATTGATAGAAAAATGCTAATGTCCCAGGAGAAAAAAAAAATGGCACTACATTCAACTAAAAGGGAAGAAAAATGAAAAATTACTAGATGTTTTGCTTTCCAACATTATTTGCAATCAAAGACATGGAAATTTAAATATTGAGATAACACTGTTCACCTATAAAGCTATCAAGAATTATTTTTCCTTTTAAGGATGCCTCCCCATATTAATAAGAATATAGTAACACAGGTATTCTCATAGAGTGCCAGTGGGAACACACTTGGGTATAACATTTTTTTGGAAAGCAAATAATCAATCTGTATAAAGAGATTTATGAGAGACAAATGGCAGGGGAGGGGGAGGGTTAGAGAGCAACCAAAGGACTTGTATGCATGTATATTAGCATAACCAATGGACACAGACACTGGGGTGGTGGGGGCTTGCCCAGGGTGGGAATGGCTAGGGGGCTGGTCAACTGGGGGGAAAGGAGACATATGTAAAACTTTAGACAATAAAAAAAAAAAATAATAAATAAATAAATAATAAAGAGATTTGTGAATCATCAACTGTGTTTGGAGGACTCCATCTAAGGAACTATGCTCTGTAGATCAAGTTTCATAAAGAATATTGGTTGCATCAGTATATATTTAATCATAGGAAATAAATTAAAAGTTCAGCTATAAGGAAATGGTTAAGTAAACTGTTATTTCTACATAATATTATGTAGTCACTAAGATAATATTCTTGAAGAACTATGAAAATATCAGAATCTTTTCATGTGTTAAGCAGTAAAAAAATCAGCATGCAACAGTATATTTATGCCATCACTGTAAAAAAATCTTTATTGTATTGTGATTATCTTTGGATGATATGATTATTTAACTCCTTTTTTATTTTTATTTTTTAGAAAGAGAGAGAGAGAAAGATTGATGTGAGAGCAAAACATCCTGCATGCCCCCTACTGGGGATCGAACCAGAGACCCCAGCATGTGCTCTGATCCAGAATGGAACCTGTAACCTTACAGTGCACAGGACTATGCCCAACCAACTGAGCCACACGGGCCAGGGCGGATTATTTAACTCTTATACTTTTTCTGAATCTACCAATTTTTATACAGCAAGCATGCATTACTTCTGAAATCATAACAAACAAGACCAACAAAATAGGGCCAGTGAGGGGCATGCTTTTGAAATGCTTACATCAAGTAACTGCAGTATTGTTTCCAAGAAATACCCAAAGAAATCTAGCTATAATTTTAGAATCCTATGAAATACTCAAAATTGTAACCTTCAATTACTGATGTATAATTAAAAGGTGCAGGTCGTGTGCAAGCACTATTTGCTCCACGCTAAGCAGATTTTTAAAAGAATAGGTGAAAAAGTTGGTGTGAGTTTAATGTATAACTATACATTATTTTAAACTAAATTCCTCTCCTCATGTTTTTGTTTTTCTTAAGGATAAGTAGTTTTTAATCATTTCTTTGTATAACTTTCCTATGGAGTATTGTACCTAAGAAAAAAATTATGAAAGCACATTGTAATGCACGATACAAATAGGACATCATTGTTCCTGTTTAAATTGCCCATCATTTCCTGCCCTAATTATCCCTGAAAAAGAAGTCTGTCTACAGAACTGCAATTCCAACTATGCGATTCCTTGTAGTGTTAACCAAACACTGTTATCTGGGTGTATCTACCCTCCTTAAGGAAGTCCCAGGCTCCCAGGAGGCAGAACCTCTGGTTTCTTCCCCACACCACCCCACCCACCTAAGGAGTGGTGGTAGGGAGGGAGACTAAGCCCTCCAGCCCCCCCCCCCCCCCCCCCCCCCCCCCCCCCCCCGCCGGCCCAGGCCTGAGGACTTAGCTTGATGGTGACTGAATCCCCATTACCTGGCAAAATATGAAGGCTTTCATCCCAGCTTTCATCTGCCGGCACCCCTCCCCGTTTTGCCTGAGACTTTGATTTTATTCAAACAAAACACAACACACTGGGATTTCCTTTAATAGCCCACTGACTACTGAAGCAGTATTAACAAAGTATGTGAAACTCTATGCAGGCTAAATGAAGGATTCATCTCCCCATGTTTACTCCAAAATAAATTAATCCGAGTCAAAAAACAACAACTAACTTAATAGAAAAAGAGTACGTCTTGAAAAGACAAAAAGAGTTTGAAGGCAAGCAAACACACACACATCCACTAATCATTCTAGAGGAGTCCAACCTGGTGGCCTGAGAGCCAGAGAAGCCCAGGGACCCGCAGAAAGTAGTACCGCGGGGCGAGCGGCCGTGGGGAGCTGCCCAACCCCATTAATGCCATTTTCAACCCCGATTACTTATACCCAGAATGGGCCCAAGCCAACCGCCCAGCGAGAGGGCTGGGCTGCAGGGCCCTGGCGGGTCTAGTGTCTGGTGGGCGGCTTCCGGCAGAGGGTACAGCTTGTCGGTCTACAGGGAACGGAGTCTACCGTGAGTCCTTCGGTCACTTTCAAGGTGACAGCGGCGAGGTCCGCATCCGTCCCTTCCGCACCAGCTGCGCGGTGCCCACGTGAGACCTGCTCTCTGCAGCCTCCGCTCGGCCGGCGCTGCCTCCCCACTTCTCCCCCAACTTTGGCGCCCGAACCCCTAGAATAGCCGCCCCCGCCCCCAAGGCGAGCCCCGCCACCCGAGGCCGGGGGCGCTCGCCACGTCCTCCCCCCGCCGTCGCCCGCGATCCCCACCGATGACAGGCGGGGCGGAATCGACCCAACTCCGCACTTACCTCTGCGCCTCGGATCCAACCCCGCGCCCTCCCGGGAGCCAGACGCGGGAGGCGGGAGAGCTGCATTCCCAGCCCCAGCGCCCTTTGCACCCTCGGAAGGCGCTGCAGGTCCCCCCCCCCTCCACCCCCCGGTGCAATCGGGCACCTGGGGACACGCGGGTCGGCCCCACCCCCACCCGCGCGCCGGCGGCGGTGGCTGCTGCGGGGAGGGATCCCGGAGTCCCAGAGGCGCCCCAGCCTCCGCCCCCCCCCCCCGCACCCCCGCCTCTCGGGCCGCCGCGGGGCGGAGCGAGGGCGGGGAGTTCGGGAAACTTGTAAATAGAGGCCGCCTCTGCCCCCGCGCCGGCCGCCGCCCCCTCCAGGCCGCCCCGGCCCGCGCCCCGCCGCTGGCGACCGAGGCCGGGAGGCGCCCCGGGAAACTTGGGAGACGCGCCAGGCGGTACCTCGGCCGGGCTCCGGGCTCCGGGCTCCGCTCGCCCGCGGGCTCCCGCCTCTCGCGCTCCCGGCGGCCGGTCCCGAAGCCCCGCGCGCTCTCGGGCTAAATGCGGGCGCGCTCCGTGCCCAGGCTTCCGCCCGGGACCGCGCTGCACCTGTTGCCACGTGCGACGCGGCGGCCGCCTGCGCACCTGGCCGAGCGTCACCGTCCCGACCGCACGGGGCCCCGCGGGCGGCCGGCCCTCCTCCTCCTCCGCGCCCAGTGCCGGGGCCCGGGCCCGGCTGCGGGGAAGGCCTGCCGCCCGCGGCCCTGCCGGCACCTGGGCGCCCCGAGCGAGCTCCCCGACGGCCGCCAGCGGGGGCGCCTGGCAGCGGGGAGCGACCCGGGGGTGGCAGGGCGTGGGAAGTTGGCGGAGTTACCAGGACAGAGGTTTTCGAGGAACCAGCGGGGACTGTTTCTTCAGTGTCCGACTCCCCGTCGGTAGTATTATCTGCATTATCTTCACTTCTAAGAGGTTTACTAGCAAATACCAGGCGTTATCTTCACTTCTAAGAGGTTTACTAGCAAATACCTGCTAAAGGTTAGAGACGTGAGCTCCAGAGCTGTGAGATCTTCGAATGAAAAAGTGCTAAGAACACTGGAACACCTGGGAAGCAGGCGCGACCCACTTTTCGATGCACACACACTATAAGGCAGTGGTTCTCATCCTCCGGAATGAGGCCCAGAAATCAGGATTTTAAAAAGATTCCCAGGTGATTCTAATGTGCAGCCAAGGTCGAGAACCACTGCACTAAGGCCTTGCTCTTTGCTGATGGGACAAATCCCATCCCTCGCTGTCTGTTAGGCCCATGAAATACTAGTCATTTTTCCTCTGAGCCTATGTTTAATGCAACGCTTTCCCACAGAGCTCTTCCGCTTACCACTTACGAGGGATGTTGCTGATCATTAAATGTCAGACAACCTGAATCCAAATCTGTCTCTAATGACCTGTTTTGGACGTGCTAAAAGCTTTCAAAGAGGAGCAGTCTTTCCCGGAGACTTAATCTGAGGATACTGTGTTTGACGAAGTTTCTGCACTGTCAATATTAGATCAGCTAACAGATGTGTTGCGATTTACGGTTGTAAAGCCTTTTCACGCCTACAGTGTTCCATTATCCCCTCAGCAAGAACCAGGGGCCTATGGTCAGACTGTTATCTCCATTCTTCAACTGGAGAAATGGGAGCTCAGAAAGGTCAGTGGCTTGCCCTGACCGGGTTGCTCAGTGGATTGGGGTGTCCTCCTTACACCAAAAGGTTGCTGCTCCGGGCACATACCTACCCATATACCGAGGTTGCTGGTTTGACCCCCTCATGCGGTGGGTACGGGAGGCGACCAATGGATGTTTCTCCTATTGATGTTTCTCTCGCTCCCTTCTCCTCTCTAAAAACATATCCTCAGGTGAGGATTTAAAAAAAAAATTTTAATAGAAATGAAAGGTCAAGTGACTTGCTCCAGGTCACCCAGCTAGTGAAGAGCAAGAGCAAACCCTACAGGCCTAACTCCCAATCTTCCCTTTTTATTTCATTACATGACGACAACTCTCAGGTGCTTTTGAAGTTCCTGTTGTAAAGACAGGCATGTAACTAACATATACATGACTCTAGGGAAAGGCATGTGGTTGCTTTTAGGGAGACGGCATTAAACACCATTGAATGATTGTCCCTGTGGAAAAGCACCAAACACAAAATAAAAACAAACCACTGACATTGTCTCTGTCAGTCATCAGGCAATTATGCTAATTAGCAGCATGCCTCCTCCCTAAGCAGAATACTCCTTGTGTTAGACATACCATTTAATCTTTGTAACCCTCAGGTGACCCAGATGACTTAGTCCACCCCTGTCCCCCAACAGTTCTATTGTGTACCTTAGTTATATCTATAAATATAGAATCTATTTTACTTCATTTTTCCATGGGATCGATTAAAGAAAGAAAGAAAAAAAAACCACCACCATCTGTAAGTAATTAGAAGCAACTTTTGTGGCCATCAGGGAATCTGAAACTTAGCTTCTAATTGCATCCACATAAAAAGAAAGGTTACCTTCTAGGGACATCATCAGGGACTCTGTGGAGGCAAATATGCTTTAATGGGGGCCTGCTGACTTTTCTTTCCATCTTTGTTCTGGGCATGTGGCCATGTTCTTGATCTCTGACCTTCAATGCTGACCTGCTACAGACTTCATAAACAACATTAAGGCTCAGATAATAACTCCCCATAACTTTGTAGCTCTTTGTCCTAAAATAAAAGTTCGCCAATTTATTTTCTCCATTAGAAAATTGCAAATTAAACTACATTGAAAATTTATTTTTTCACTTACTCAGATTGGCAAAAATTAAAAAGTTTGATAACCACAGTATGTTGGCAAAAGTGTGAGAAATGGGCAGTTACAAAGCAGATATGCTTGTAAATTAAAATGACCTCCATTAAGAGAAATTCACAATATCTAACAAAATTATAAATGCTCATATCTTTTGAGCCAGTAAGTCTACATATAAGAATTTCTCTGACAACACACATGAGAAATGGCATGTATATATAAGCTTGTCCATTTCAGCATCCTATCTAATAAAAATGGAATATGCAAATTGACTGTCACACCATCACACATATGGCAGTGCCCATAACCACAAGATGGTGGCGCCCAGTCCTCTCAGCCCTGCCGGAGTCCCACAGTCCTTTCAGCCCATCCGGGTGGGGAGGAGGGGAACGGTAGGCACATGGTGCGGCCGGACCCACCCTCAGAACTCCAGCCACCCTCAGCCCCCCAGGGCTGGCCCAAGGTGCAGGCAAGTCTTGGATGGTGGCTGTCCAGCCGCCCAGGGCTGCCCGAGGCTCAGGTAACCAGGGTCAGCTGAGGCTAGCACTGCCGGCAGTGGCAGCAGCAGAGGTGTGATGGGGGCGTCATCTTCCCCTGATGGCCGGGTTGCCTCCCGCCCCTGAGGACTCCCGGACTGTGAGCAGGCCAGGCTGAGACCCCCCTCCAGTGCATGAATTTTCATGCACCAAGCCTCTAGTTATTTATAATAAGAAAAGGTCAAAAAAGGGATAAATGTTCATTAATAAAGGACTGGTGATTTACAAAGCAGCCATAAAATTACATATTATGAAGTATCTTTTTCAAAAATGAGAATGCTCTTTGTACTATTATGAAATTATTTTCAAGATACATTATGTGAAAAAAGATACAGTATGGGCACACCTTTTTGAAATGCAAAACAAGTATGTTACATTCTACTAAAAAGGGAGAAATTATATACATTTGTATGCATACATATGTACATATGTTTATTTGTATAAGCATAAAATATCTCTGGAAAGATATACCAGAAACTGATAAAATTGGTTGGTCTTAAGAAGGAAGCTGGACAGCTGAAGAGCTGGGTTTGAAGAGGAACATTTCATTAAATATAATTTTGTATTTTTTAAAATTTTGAACCATGTAAATAAGAGTACCATTCCAACATTTAAAGCATTGTTTTGCCATCAGAAATGACTAAGATTCTTTCCCTACTAATTTCACAATACATTTCTCATGCATTAATGGGAGAGAGAAAAGCAAAATGCCCCAACATGCTTTCAAACTTTTACTTCTCTAGTTTATTGACAAGGAAGACTTTAGTACATAAAACTCTAACATGCTGTGATTTTGGTGCAAAATGATGAGTTAGCTAACTCCTTAGAATTTTATAAGCATTGATATTTCCCTGGGGTAGAGCTTCCAGCTAATTTTCCCAGTCACACTCTATCAGAAATGGAAAAAATATGTATTTTTGGTACATTGATTTGAGTAGTGAGGAAGTAACCCCATGGGAATTCCATGGGATCATTTTATTTTATTCCCAAACTTGATCCCCCTTTTTAATTTGCTATTTGTTTCTATTTATTTAAACCACCACATCACTGAAGAGGGATTTAAATGAAGTCTAAAGGACAGGCAGAATAAATATTTGGAAATATTAAAACAGAATCCAAGGAAAAACATACAGATAAGAGTAAACACACCATTGAGTAACATATTAAACCACTGAGCTTTTTGGTTGCCAAATGCCACAACCAGTTACATAACTGCCATTTTCAAAAGGAGCGAAGGAGTTCTTTAAGGGAAGCAACACTTTACCTAGCACTGAATTCAAAGAGAAGTTTTTTTCACTCATATTTCAGATCAAGACTATGGAATGGGAAAAAAAACAATATATCATTCATAATATGTAAGAAACTTTAAATGATTTTTTTCATAATGGCTTAGAACATAAACCAAAAATATTATAATAAAACTCAACTTGATGACGGTATTCACCCAGCCAAGCCTTATAACAGCATATTGGTACCCAGGGTTGACCATAAATAAAGGTGTGTAAAAGCTGTTAAAAGTCAAGTTTGCTCATGGTAAATTTCTAACATGTTCACAAATCCCTTGACTGTTGCTGTATACAACATTCCAGAAATTTTCCCGTCATCCACCCATTTGAGACGAGCTGAAGAATTAATTGCAAGAAATGACAAAGACCCAGAATGCCAGAATTCTGTGATACTGCTGATGACTGTTTTTCTATTTCTATTGAGAGAAAACGTATATTACAAATATCCACATGATTTTTAATCCTTGTATCTCAAGATGGTGAGTCATGCATGGTCAAATGCACAAACTGACTGGCTGTAGCAATGAGTGCACAG